GACTCACCCAAAACTTCCTTTTTATTCCAAGCTTTTTTTTTCGGATGCCAAAAGAAATATATATAGAGAGAGAGAGAGCGCTAATGGCAAACATACCAATCTTTTTTTAATTTATAAGTATAGCAAAATAATAATAATCATCATCATCGTAAGGTTCAATCTAAATTAAAAAAATACAAAAATTGGTAACCGCTCAAATTAGCAGTTTTTTTTAAAGAATTCTTACATTTGTATATGTGATATCTGTTTTAAAAAGAAATAAGATCATTATGGTTTACATCTGGATAGAGGTGATCACATATCACCATCACAATCCATATGGAAAAATAATTGTTTCAAAAGACATATAAATAATAAAAAATCTAATATCTAATATCATGCATAATAGTTATATCAATGATATTATAATATACTTGATATTTTGTATATAATTTATAATTTGATATATCAATTATAAACTTGTAATGTTGTTTAAGTCAAAATCTTCCATCCGAAAAAAATTTATCAGCGACATACTTAATAGAAAATATATAATTCATATATTTAATATACTTATATATTTCATAGTATGTATTTTAACTTTCGAAAATAACAGGGATGAATTTGGAATATTTGTAAAATTGAAAAGTTATTGCTATATTTGTAAACATAGCAATGACATATGTTAAAAATATCTTTTTTCTTTTGTCTAGAAAGATTAGGATAAAGTGAGAGGGAATAGATTCAATGGTCATCTACTTATAAATTAATTCATATATGTTTCGAGACATCAAATTTTGTAGGGTCCAGGAGTTTCGTGAGATTAGTTCAAGTGTGCATAAATTGAGTTGATTACGTACTTACCGATATCAATAAATTAAAAGAAAAAAAAAACCCCTTTTTTCTTGCTGTTTAAAAATTACCGACACGTTTAAATCATTTGGAATTTTCTTAAACTATACTCTATATTTTTACTGTATTTTTCTTTCTTAAATATTAAAATATTTCAATTATATTCTAATGAATTTTTAGTCCCTATTATTAACGTTAATGGAATTAGAATACTGACAAAGTGGTACTTTCCTTTTTTGTTTATCAAACAAAATGGTACAATATGAATGATGTAGTATAATATAATAGCCAACAAATTGAAAATTTTGAAAAATAATTCATAAGTTTTTCTAGCCTTGTGCAACACATCAAATTACTTTCTTGACAACATTTTGAAATCTCGCTCTTGCTTTTCTACTTTTCTCTCGCTCGTCACGCTCTTCTCTTTCACTCTTGCTCTCGCTCATTTTAGTTCGTTCTCTCCTTCATTCACATCCTGTATAATTGATTCATTCATTCTCTTCTTTGTTTATACTTTATAATGAGGAATTTCAAGCTCCAACCACCTTCTGATGCTAATTTTGGTAGACATCTTCCATAATCGATTCATTCATTCCCCCCTTTATTTATGCTATATAATGAGGAATCTCAAGCTCCAGTCACCTTCTGGTGCTAATTTTGGTATAACATCGTATAAAATTTTGGAGATTTCACAAGTTCTAAATTTGGATCTAATTCATTAATAAGTCGAGTTAAAAAACATAGAGTATCTGCAAGCAAGCTATTCAAAATTTTCAACTTCATGAAAATAAATTTGACTAACTAAAAAAATCTTTTGATTCTCTTTCAAACGAAGTTTGGCAATGATTCTCCAACATTTTCTTCCATGGTAAAAATGTAATATCTCGTAGTTGCTGATGTTAGTAAAGGTTATATAGAAGTTTTATTCATATTTTGAATAAAACAGTTCGTCTTAAAATTTTAGGTCCGCCCATTTAAAAAAAGGTTATATTTTAGCCCTAATTTCAACCCATAACTCTTCATCAATCTTAAATTTATTTAGGCTTTCATGAAAAATAATCAGTTATTGAATAAGTTAAAATTATTTAGTAAAGGTAGCATGCAGAAATAACATCTAAAATTGAAAAACAAAAATTTCAATACAAACTGCCAGAAAAGAATGTCCAAAAACTAAATAAAGCCAATAAATTTCAACCAAAAATTAAATGATAGTTGCTGACGATGTCTAGGAAAAACGATAAATAAATCCAATAATGATTTTTGCTGAAAAATGAATAAACAATAATAAATTTTGCTGAGATAATTCAGGAAACGTGAAAAGTAAAAATTCGCAACAAATTGGGAAAAATTAGGAATTCTTTTTTTTTCTCCAAACGGAAAAATAAGGAATTACTAGAATTGAATAGAAAAATAGGGTATATAGATGGACCACGGATAATTGATTGAAAACTTTCTTTATTTGTTTAATTGAATAGAAAAATATAAATATTTATCTTAAATGACTACTGATTTACTGGGAGAGAATAAATTAATAAAAAAATTCAATAAATGTAATAGGAGAGTATTTTTTTAGTCAAAGACTCAACCTTTAAGGTTGGAAAGACAAGAGTATAAATAATTAGATATTTGAATATACGTGAAATATGGATTCTAAAATAGTCCTCTAGAGAGAATTTTCCTATTTTATTATTTATTTGTAATTTATCCATTTGACTGTCGCCCCTTGATATTTTATCAACCAATTTTTGTTTATCTAAGGTTGGACGGATGTTAATGATAGAAATTAAAGATAAAAGTTTGATTCAAATTTAACAATGTCTGTAACTAATATCCAACCACCAAAACCAAATA